TCTACCAAACAGGCAAGACTGTTTTCTTTGAAGTGATGCAAGGAAGATCTTTTAAAACCTTACTTACTGATTTAGAGGTGAATTTTTTTGGCTTGGATTCTGTAATTTCTTTGAAATGTTTGTCATCCATCAGGTTTTCAAAGGGTGTGTTTTTCCAATCTCTTCCAATATCTTCTCCATACAACGCTGACAGCTTTTCAACAGTGTCACAATAATTATCAATTCCTTTATCTTGTTCTTGATCTGTATTATCCCTAAGATTATGATACAAGGACCACAACTCATCTTTCCACTGCTAAAAAGCAAAAGAACTTGCAGACATGCAGAGTAAACAAACAACTGTATTTTTGTGGATATGTTGTCACTTTTCAACCAGCTTCAAGTCAACATAAACAATCAGCTCATTTTACCTCTTTTGTAATGAACTCAATCTCTGCCTCATACTTCGGGCTGTCCATGTCAGTCTCCACTTTAATCATGACTGTGGTACATGCTCTGACATCTCCTGTGGGCAAAAGATCCTTCTCTCCAATGATCGCATTTATTAGAGAGATCTTTCCAGCCCCAGTTCTACCAAAGACACCAACCAGCTCCTTCTTGTCTGTCTCCAAATCTTTGATTTTATCCCTATTGTACAAAGAGTTTAAATGTCAGTTAAATCATTACTTTGGGAAATACAAAAATGCTGAAAAAAATAAAAATCAAAATCAGGAAGATATCTGTAGTGCTCTTCCAAAATTAACAAATCAGTATATACACTAGTATATTTAGCAGAACCTAGGATTTGGTTTTAATTAAACTTTTGATTGATCACCATGGCCCTGCGATGGACCGGTGACCTGTCCAGGGTATACCCCGCCATGCGCCTGATTGCTGGCTTTTACATTCTCCTGTCTAGTCGCCTTTGATATGATGCCAAACTAATTACCAGCTACAGTATATAAATTAAAGCCTTTCAACCATAAATTGTCTTAAAACACACTTGTGTACTGCGTGACAAAGTTTAAAATTCAGTTGGATTTTGACTGGGCAGAAGTCCAAACTAATGTCACAGACAACAATACTGCATTTTAGCATTTTTTTTATATCTACATTGTAATTATGACTAGTCAGAACTGGATTATAAGATATCTCTAGTTACATTTTGATTGGTCTAAACTCCAATTTCATATATCTACAATTGAATTCCGTCTAGTCACATCTTAGTTTGAGACATACAATAAGATATTTTGAATATTTTTAAAACATGCAAAATTAAAGATATCTGTAATTAGAATGAAGACTAGTCAAAGTTACTTTAATTTGAAATTTGACTAGTCAAAATGTAATTACAGATATCTGGAATGTACATTTCAGACAGGCAGAACTGAACTGTCGATATCTTAACTTAGTTTTGCCATTCAAGTCAATGAAGAATTCTTACTAGTTAAAATGTGATTGTAGATATCTAAAACTGTCATCCTTACATGATGATCTTGATATATCATTTTGACTAGTCACACTGTAATGTTGACTAGTCAAAATTTAGAAAAAAAAATGCAATTATGGATATTCAAGTGAAACCTTTTAAATGTTAAACCCACCTCCCATAGTTTCACAGCTTGTACAAACTCGCTCTCCCCCAGCACTTCCCATATGTGCTGACTCGGGTATGAGCTCTTGTTAAAACTTGTTCAGCTGATACTAGTATCAGCCTCGTAGTAAACTCACTCTCCCTCCACACTTTCCGCATCTGCTCTTATGGCTATCAGTCACGTATGGAAGTGGGGCTTGTCTCCTTTGTCCATGTACCAGAGTCAAAATTGAGTAGATCCAGTGCTTGTTAGCTGTTAACCTTAGGTAAAATAAGAGCTAGGTATCTGTCTATGAACATCCTGCTCACATGCATAATTTAATCAGAGATAATGAAGATTTTTTTTCCATTATCTCTTATAACTGCTGATATGCAAGAGACTAATCACACAGCAAGATGCATTTTGGCAGAAACATCCAATCACAACTCTTAAAACTGTCAAGTCAGCTGCTAACAGCAGCATTGAGAAAACTGGAAAAAAAACAGTTTGCAGCTTAAATGAGTTCACTTTTAAATTCTGGGTCAGTTTTAATAGAATTCAGCAGCTATGGCTCCAGGATTTCTTCTCAGCAATATTGACAAAGCATTTTGAGATCACCACTGTTATGATTTGCACTTCTGACTGTCCAGATTTCCATGGAAACAGCAGCTGAGGCTTATGAGTATTTTAGTATTTAGAGCCCAAAGTCTTTGCACTGAGGACTACAGGCATTACAATAAGTTACTGAATACTATTTTTAACAAGCTCATTTATTTTTTAAATTGTGGTTTAAATGCTGAATCTGGACTTTGATAACCAGTAATTGGGCAAAACAAGCATGTGGGGTACCATATAAAGTGTGAATGGCCTGATACAGACTATGACTAATCTAAGAGCAAATTAAGACTGGCTCTGCACTACAGATTAGTCTAAAATCTGTTGGTGAAACCATCCATGGTCAGGAGTGAAACCAGGCACATATAACAAAAGACTGTGGAATATGGAAAACTTAAACTTAGCAGGAAAAATTAAATCCAAGTGATGCACAATGATATGTCTTGGTATACAAAAAAGGAAGAAAAGAACATAAATGCTAAGATGCATTTACAGTAAACTGCTGCTATTGATACCTATAGTTCACTATACAACAGTGTCCTAAATAACATGTATGATGTGGACTGTTTTAGGTATTCTGATAAAATTTAACAGAGACCTGCCGGTCAGTGATAAAGTATTTTCTGGGACAAAGGCACAGAAACAATACAAGGAAAAATTCATTACATATAAGTTTTAACCCTGTAGTGGGCTGTAGGTTGCCACTGAAAGAAATATAAATACCTGAGGATGATCCATGTATAGTGTTGCGTTGTCGTTTACTCAGTGATTTGCTGGATTCACCCTGAAGATCCGACTTTCTCTTTCCTTATTGGATGTTTTTGGGGTTTTTTTTGTTGAAAAAATAGAAGCCAAAACAAAAGTTTTTTTGCATGTATCTCACAATATTAAACATGGTCTTATTATGGTTATTTCATCAAAGCAAAGTACTACTGCCTTAAACCCACCAATGAGCACTACATCTAATCAATAAGAGACTGTGTATTTCACCCTTACCAACTGCTCCACTGGTGGATGGCTGAGTCGGAGGATGAACCGAAATATTTCATTCTTAAAACAGTAATAAATTATATTCATACAGGTTTTTCCTCGTAACAGCGCTACAGGCTTGAACACACATTTTTACTATTCGTACACTGAAATTTACATTTATGTTCTCATCCAGTCATCGATGACCCTGACAAAACCTTTGTTAAGTGAAGTCCAGCAAATGGCTAATACTGTAAGTGATTCACCATTATTTTCCTCAGCAACACTGTGCTCAAAAGAGACAATTCCTTAAAGATGAATCTTTCCTCATGTTTTACAGTTTATGTATGAAAAACAGAGACTCTCACTAATTATAGGCCTGTGAAAGTAACTATCATCCTTACCTGAGTAGGTTCTGCTGTTCCTCCATGCTCCTGTTGACCCTGCAGATAAAAATAATCCTCTAAGTGCAAGGTTATGTAAAATTTTGAAGACCAAAAATTAGGGTTGTCCCAATCCATTTTTTCCTTTAATAATAAGTATTTATCAATACCAATTTTGATCCAATACGTATGTTTACCTACAGTAAATGTTATTTAAATATCTGACATATTGCCTGGCCCTATAATGCCTCAGCATTGAGGAGGTGGATTTATTTAAGTAGGAAAGTTCTGTCGAACAAATGCGACATTTAACCTGCAGAAAATAATATGAATAGTAAACTCAGAGTCACTTTGAAATGAATTTGAATTCAGATAGATCAAGTGGGAACTCTGAGAGGAACAGGATGAAACAACAAGGTAATTAAAACAAATACCTTATTTTCCGATATGAGATCAAAATGGTCCCACATGGCGGAAACCTTTCTTTTGGCTTGATGCTGCTCTATAATTCTTGGTGAATGTGATGATGAACCGCAAAAGATCAGAGATTCGTTTTGGCAGATGCATCCCGTTGACATATGCGCTTCCTTATAAACACAGTTTGGCG